ATTTTGCAATATTTTATCATTCTTCTGCTGAAGGCAACTTGGCCCCAAAGACCACTTCCAAATAAAGACACATTCATTTATATACTACCTCTAAGCCTAACAAAATCTTCTCAGCCTCTTTATTGGCACCCAGGAGGTCATTATTTTAGAAAAGATGCCAACAATTTAATTTCTACCCTGCTAACCTTTCGCTGACTAGCTTTACCAGAATCTGTATGAGAAATGAATTGGAATAAAATAACTCAAGCACTGAGACACTCCTAAAGAAAGATGTCTAAAGACTAAAGTCTTGATTGTGTGTCTTTCTCTAGAAACAGTCTGGAAGGAGGAATTTCCCCGGTCTTCGGCGAGTTCCCTCTCACCCCAACCTCCAGATTCCACCCATCCCAAAGTTCTCTTCACATTTTTTTTTAAAAGAATGCTAAATAAGCAACAAGTCATTGTTGTTCCAGAAAATTAGGAGAAAGCTACAGAAGGGTAGACATAAGCTAAGAGGAGTTTATGAGATGAGGGAATAAAGTATATGTATTAGAGTTGGAAATTTTATATTCCTTTTCTCACCTTTGGGTCCTGGTGAAATTGTGTGTGTGGCGCAGACGTCAGGGGTGGGGTGACTACCGATGTCCAGGCCCAGAATCTGAATATGCAAAAGAAAGAGCACGAGGAAGAGGAAGATGAATGGATTTCTTCTAAACAGGGCTCCGAAGCCATCCATGCCCTGGTTTCTTACAAAGGGTCACCCAGCAATGCCAAATAAACAGCTTTATTTTAAATAAAATCCTCTGTTGGAAGGAGGAAAAGTGAAGTATTTGGAGCACACGTTCCAAAATAAGCTGCAAAGACAAGAAGGAATCATGCCCTAGCTTGTTTATTTTCTCAGTATTCCAAATGGACCGAACATTGTCCAGACTGCTTACTTTCAAATGACAAGAGTTTATTGTAAATTATCTCTGACCTAAACATGCAAGTGTGCAGGTCAGCAGAAACATCCCCAAGAGCAGCGAGAATGGAGCTGCCTTCTGCTCAGAACTTGAGCTGAGGATTCAATACCTCCTCTTGCATTTAAACATTAATTCCCAGGGAGCTAGTGAGCCAACTTCACCTACATGTTATGTAAACACTGTCTATAGCTCTGAGCCTTTTTTCAAGGAAATATTCATGACCCGTTTGTGGTGGTGGTTAAACATTAATGTCCTCATTGCTCTACATGACCTTATTTCCTTGTCTTGCTACTCCAAATTGTCTTGGGATTAAACTCAAAAGAAAAGAGCAGCAGCTTTTCTGCAAAGCAATTTGGTAATAAGTGTCAAGAATATTAAAAATGTTTACGGCCTTTGGCCTTGTAATTGCACTTTTGGTACACTATCTTCAGGAAGTACTGTGAAATATGGACAAAGTTTTGTTTGCAAATCTGTGGCCTAAGAATACATTAACGGTAAGCAAATTATGGTAAATGCTGACAGATGAGAGAACATGGCAAGACAATTTTATTAAAAAGATGCATGCAGGGTTTTATAAAATGATCATAGGCCACCAAGTTGGTTCCAGCTCCTAGTGACTTTGTATAGGGTTTCTGAGGCTACAAATCTTTACGGGAACAGAAAGTTTCTAACCTTTCAGTTACTAGATGAGCTCCTAATCCACTATGCTACCAGGGTTCCTTACAAAGCAGGATAGAGTTGGATATATATAGCTACAAATCTCTCTCTCTTATCTCTCTTTCTATCCATCCCATCAGTTCATGATATGAAAGCTCAACTGGTCTTAGGAAACTCCGATGAATTAGAGCCACAATTATATACAATAGGAGGCTCCTCATTCTCTCCATTTTGAAGACATATGCTAACAAAGAATGGGACCAGCAGGAATTTTGGACCTAGTTTCCTTGAAATTTTAAGAGAAAGACATTACAGATCCTGATAAAGACTGACAAAAAGGTAGCCCTAAAAGATGCCATTGTTAGTAATGATTAATCCAAGAAATATAGGCTTATATGAGAGGTCTTCAACAAGGTCATGGAAAAATTGAGTAAATATTTTCTCACAAACATGAAAACACCTTCATATATGATGAACTGATCCCTCGTAAAAGGTATAGGTAAAGGGAGGAAAGGAAGTATTCCTGATTAAATAGTCACCGTTCACAGTCACAGGACTGGGCCCTTGACTTCAGTTATTTCACTTAAGCCTCAGAAGAGCCCTGAGAAAGTAGTAGAACACTTTCATATTATAGACAAAGAAGCTGAGGCTTGAGAAAGCTAAGCAGATTGCCTAAGATTACCCACTGAAAAATAGAATCCAATAAAAAAGAAATGCAAACCCAAATGATTTTCAAAATTCTTGCTTTTTAAGTCGTATTTAGTTTCCACAAAGGTAAATATTTTCAACCTTTGAGAATGCATTTGTTTTCACACATAGTTAAGACATCCAAGTGAATGTATGTGTCATGTTAACACTGATAGGAAAGAATGGGAATGGATAGGTTAGTGTTTGAAGCCTCAAGTTCCATATCTGTCATCACCTGATGTGACATCAAGTAAATCACTCAACATCAATTACCACAAGGCATACAAAGTGGGTTTAACTGATACATACGTAGTGCTCTTTCTACAAAGTCTATGATTCTTTTTATGTAGGGATTCTTTAAACTGCTTTGTTGTTGTTGTTATGTGCCATCGAGTCGGTTCTGACCCATAGCGACCCTGTATAGGGTTTCCGAGGGTGTAAATCTTTACGGGAGTAGAAAGCCTCATCTTTCTCCCGCGGAGCAGCTGGTAGTTTCGAACCACTGACCTTAAGGTTCGCAGCCCGATTCGTAACCACTACATTCCTTGGCACATAATCAAAATGGAACCAATAAATTTAGACAAAGAAATCCACTGGTAATGGCTTGAAGCAAATAATAGCCTTTAGTATTCTCGAGGGAACTTAACAACAACAACAACAATAGGATATTCTCTTCCTATTCTTTCCAACTTTTAAAAAAAAACCTAATGATGCATATAAATATGTCCATATCCTAGCAATGTGAATGTGAGTGTATTTGGAAATAGGACCTTTGCAGACGTCATTAAGTTAAAGACCTTGAGATGAAATCATCCAGTGGGCCCTAACTCCAATGACAAGTGTCCTTCTAAGAGACAGTGAAGGAGAGATAGGGAAAAGGTCAGGTGAAGCCAGGGAAGAGATTGGAATTCCACAGCTACAACTAGGCAATGCCTGGAACCTCCAGAAGCTTAAAGAGACAAGATAAATGTTCTCCTCAAACTTCCAAAGGGAGCCCAATCTGACAGATACCTGGATTTAGGACTTCTGGCCTCTAAAGCTATGAGCAAATAAATTTCTGTTGTCTCAAATCACCAAGTCTGTAGTACTTTGTAATGGCAGCTCTAGAAAATGTATTCACCATTCTTGAGATATTCAACCACAGTTACTGGAAGCAATGACACATCTAAACATTTGCTCAGTGCCTAACAAAGACCTAGCAACATCTGTTCTTGTGCATTTCAATTATCATGCAACCATCCAGCCTAAATGATGTCTGGAGGGAAAATACAATCCAGGATCTGAAGCAAACATATCCTAAGGCAGACATATTTTACTAGTCAAAACAGAAGAGCAACCAAATGACCACCACATCTTCTGAACGATTTTCTTACAAACAGATACAACTCAAACTTGGGATTGGGTTTGCCTGGTCCCATAAATATCTTACTGACCTAAAGTTCTAGAACTTTACTTTAACTTAATTGAATGCAGTTTATAAAGAATAGAAGTTAGCAGAATGCTTTTAAAATGGCATATTTAGAAAGCAACATGCTAACAAACACACACAATTGTTTAATTTTTATAATTGAATCTCATATTTGTAGCAACATACATTTTAAAAAGCGAATGACATTAGTCAGCTCCAAAGATGAAGAGAGTAGGTCCTTGCTGTTCTCCCCACCCCTGATACTTACTCCCCTAAGTAAGCTATTGTAATACTTTCAGGTATCTTTTACTTCTGCTATATTTTAAAAGAGCATACTGTTTGTTTGTTTTTCTATTTATATACTTGTTGAGTTTTTAATATGAAAGATTGAGACTTATCTAACTTTCATTCCCAGCTTTCCCATACATTTTTCCCTTCCATCTATCTTTGCAATTGAATATTATCATATTATAGATATATGTGGATATAGATATAGATAGATAGTAATTTTTATTGTGCATTGGGTCAAAGTTTACAGAGTAGACCAGTTTTCCATTCAAGATCTCCTACACATTTGCTTCCTTTCATTGATTGCATGCAGTTCCCCACAATGTAGCATCACTCATCCCACTTTCTCCCTGTGCTTCCTGTTTGTTTTTGCTTTTTATTTTAAACCTTTGATTGTGAATTGAGGGAAGGTTTACAGAATAGATCATCAGTTTTACATTCAGCAAATCTTATACTTTGCTTCTTTACACTTAAACTATTGCATTCCTCACCACTAGACCAATTAACAACATTCTTATCAATGGAGAAAAGATTGAAGTTGTCAAGGACTTCATTCTTCTTGGATCAACTATCAACATTCATGGAAACAGCAGTCAAGAAGTCAAAAGATGTATTGCATTAGGCAAATCTGCTACACAAGATCTTTTTAAAGTGTTAAAGAGCAAAGATGTCAGCTTGAGGACTAAGGTGTGCCTGACCCAAGCCATGATATTTTCAATAACCTCGTATGCATGTGAAAGCTGGACAGTGAATAAGGAAGACCATAGAAGAATTGATGCTTTTGAGTTATGGTGTGGGAGGAGAATATTGAAAGTGCTGTGGACTGCCAAAAGAACCAATAGATCTGTGTTGGAAGAAATGCAGTCAGAGTGCTCCTTGGATTGGCCAAACTTTGTCTCTCATACTTCGGACATATTGTCAGGAGGGACCAGTCACTGGAGAAGAATATCATGTTTGGTAAGGTGGAGGGTCAGAGAAAAAGAGGAACACCCCAGTGAGATGGATTGCCAAAGGGGCAGCATCAATGGGCTCAAGCATGACCACAGTAATGAGGTTGGCCCAGGACCAGGCAGTGTTTCATTCTGTTGTGCATCATGTCTCTATGAATCAGTACTGACTTGATGGCACCTAACAACAACAACAACAATTTCACTCTATATAATGTCCTCCAGCTTCATCCATATGTGAGCTGTTTCACTGATTCATCGCTATTCTTTAACATTGTGTAATGTTCCATTGTGTACATGTACCAACGTTTGTTTAACGATTATTGTGTTAAGGGGAATTGGTTGTCCTCATCTTTTTTTTAAATGTTTTATTGTGAATTATATGGTAGTTTACATGAGAGAACTTTAGTTTTACATTCATTCCATCGTATATCATCTCATTGCCATGGTTCCAATCCCCTCCATGCATCATCAACCAACCAAAGGATATATCCTAGAAACCTACCCCCTACACTTCCCCCTCCCCCCACCAGTTGTCCTCATCTTTTCGATGAGTCTCTTGTAGACAGCAAATTAAAGGATCCTGTTTTCTTTTCCATTCATCATTCTATTCTCTTGATTGGTACATTTCATCAGTTTACATTCAGTGCAATTAGCTATAAGTCTGAATGATACTGACATTTTGCTGTGTGTTTTTTTGGTGCTGCTAGTTTCTTTATTGCACATCAATTTCTGTACTGAGTTAATTTTGTGGGTATTCTTTTTATTTTTATTTCTATTGTATTAA